TTTCAAATTGAATTTTATATATAAAATGTGGTATCAATATAAAGACAATTAGTTGAACTTCTCAGAACTTTAATTTTATTTGAAAATTTATAAAGTGTTCAAGAGATAAAAATGTCTAAATTTTGACGTTATTCATATATTTTTTTTCAGTTTTTGCATGAATATTTAAAAAAAGAATATATTTCAGCCACCTAAGTTCAATTTTTTATATATTATACTGAGGTCTTCAGTCTGAATGTTTCTTAACATGTATAAACATAAACAGTAATATTCTCTATAATAAAAAATTTCCACCTTTACAAAATTATTGTACTTATTGTACTTGTATATGTCCGTAACAAAATAATGACAAATTGTTTTTTTAAAGTATCTTAATAATTATTATTACTATAATTTTTTTTGCTACACTATCATATTTTTGAATTGTGAATTACCAGTTAAATTTAGTTTTTGGAATTTCCATGCAATTTTTTTGGCCGTTACAGACTTCAATATTATTATGTACGTCTGTAACGGTACATCTGTAAGGCTTAATCTAGTTTCGAGGTGTTGAAACCTACACCCATTTTTCTAATGCTAATTTAAAATTTTTTTTTACTTAATATTATCCTGTAAAAGTATTGGACTCATTTAGTACAGGGAGTAGGCCTGCTGTTCCTAGCATCACACACACACACACACACCTTATCACGCAGCTCATGAATTTTAACATGATCACATATTGTGATAGGATCATGCTGCTTGTGCATTCAACTATTACATAATCATGTTTTCTTTTTTGTTAATTATCATTTTTTGATAGAGTCTTCATCTTCGAAGACTCTGAAAGGTACCATTTTCACTATCATGCAAACAAAGGAGTCAGATAGTTAGTATACATGCTGTTATCATTTTTTGCATTGTAAACTACCTGTTAATATTGTAGGTTTTGGAATTTCCAATTTAGTTTTTTTTAAATTTCGACCATACGAATCTAAATATTATTAATGTACAGTATTTCTGTAACGGTACGTCTGTAACTCTTAATATTGGTTTTGAAACCTAAGGCCTTTTCTCTAATGACACTTAATTGTTTTTTACTTTTAATTTTATTATTCTTTAAAAGTAGGAGACTTCTTCAGTACAGAGTTGGGCCTATTGTTCTTTCAGGGCCCAGCATCACATACCTTTGTACTGTGTAGCTCATGCATGATTATATACTGGCATGTGTGTTCTCATAATGTAGCTTGTGCATGAGCGATTATTATTACAAAATTTGAAAACTTTCATCAAATGAGATTTTAAAACCTTTGAAAAAAGCATCATTCTGCTTTGATATTGAAACATGAGTGATGATAGGTTTTTGGTATAAGTTTCTTTTATATTTCTTTTGGGTTATATTTAGTGCAATAAAAAAAAATCAAAATAAATATGCAGTGATGTTCATTCTGTTCTTTGCTTTAAAGTGATTTTGGTCTAGGTAGACAGGCCTTTAGCACTCTTATTTTTCTGTGATATGTGGTCTAAAATTAGGATGGTGAACTAAAATTGGCCACTAAAGTACATTAGGCCTCAGTCATAATGAAGTATCTCTCTTCTATGATAATCGTTCATATCTGAATTTATCCATCTGCATATTTTAGAATAAGGTCTATCCTTATGCTGATTACTGGCCCAACAAAATTATTACAATTGAGATCTATTAACTCTATCTTTGTTCTAAATTTTCCATAGTTAACAAAGAAATTTGCTGCTCTCTAAGAGAGAGAGAGAAGCAGAAGAAGATGAGGCTTAAATAAAAATTTACCCCATAAAGCAAGGATAGTTTTTGAGAAAAGAGAGGGAAAGAAAAAGACATGCACGACAGAAAGTAAACAGGCTGACCAACGCATGAAGCACCTTGTTGTCTGACAGTTAAACTTTACCTGATGATGAGAGAGTGCATGATTCTTTCAAATGGGTGAAGGTGAGAGCAGTGACAGTAGACTGCAAGTGATGAAAGTGGGTGTAGTGTCTAATGAGAGTGAAAACAATTCAGCGCATGTGATGAAAAAAGTAATAGAGTTAAACAGCATGAGTGGTAGGAAGATACGATAATCGAGGAAGAGAGTGAGTTACAACTGAAACAGTTAACTGGTACCCAGGCAGGCCCGTAACTGGGGGGGGTTCGGACGAACCCCGCCGTTTGCTAGCTGGCTCCGCTTGGATGGCAAAAAAAGAAAGTCTCGAAAGAAGATTGCTTAAACCTAAAAAAAAAAAAAAAAAAAAAAAAAACAATCCTGTTCAAATAATCTTTATAGACAGTAGCAACTTTTAATACAAGTTTCAAGATGGAACTCTTATTTATGTGGTCAGTGCAATTGTTTGGTCGTTAACATCTTCAAAAGGCTCCACTTTTTCCAAATTTGAACCCCCCCCCCTAAAAAAATCCTAGTTACGGGCCTGCCAGGAATAGTGAAAATGTTATCAAAGAAAAATATGGAGTTAGTAGCTTAGATGCCAGTGGTCCAATGTTATGGAAATTGCCATATTATGTCAGAATCTAATAATCAGACAACTTAAGTTCATCGCAAATTTAATTATTAAGATGCATTCCCTGTATCATAAATACATACCAAATGAATTGAATCAAATGTTTTCAATATTTTCTCCATTTAAATGTTCCTGTCAAGTAATTGGTTCATTGACATTTTAAAGAGTAGAAAATAACTTTTTTTAAGTGTTAAAATTTACTTAGTCTTTCTTTCATTATAGTCGTATTTTTGTGTAATTTACTTGCAAATTATTTTTGCTTGCTCCAAACCAAAATGTACTACTGTTTTGCTATAATAGTGTAAAGATAACATTTGGTCTTGGAGGCAGTTGATCAAGATAATTTTCATGGTTGAAGGCACAAAAGTATTTTTTATTCCAGGCCCGGAGCTTACTCCAGATCCAGGCCTTGTGATTTGAAAATGGCAGGCGAGCAATAAAACACTCATATTAATTTGTTCAGACAAGTGATTATTTTGCGGAATGGTGCAGGGTGGGGAGGTAATTAAAGAAATATTGCAGATAAACATTCAATTGCTATTGCCATATATAGTGCAACCAACAGGAGTGAACAAGACATAAAATTTAACTTCCAATATTTACATTAGAGAAATAATATGTGCACTCTCCCAATTAAAGCTTCTAGGGAATGCGCCCCCTGTATCCCCTACCTTTTGGAATTGAGACGCGCCCCTCCCCCTTCCCAAACCCATCCCTCACATATTTTTCATTTCTAATGTATGCATGTATAAATTATAAATTTAATTTAATCAAGGTACAATCCAAAATGCCAGCATTAACAGTAACACTAACAGTCAATAACAACATTATATTATAGAAGTTCAAGTCACTTTCTTCCTGCAAGCTCCCGACCTCAGACTCCCCTTCACTAATCACAATGTCACAGCATCCAGACTCAATATTGTATACTACTTCCTCATCCATTGCAATATCTTTCGTGTTGAACCCTTCAGATGACTCATCGTCATCATCACTGTCAACTTGGTAATCTTCAGAGAAGTGGTTTTGGTCCAGCTTTGCGATGTTTTCTCAATCGCCCCACTAAACCAACCAATCATCATATGGTCTTGCATTTTTTATTTCAAAGGCTTAATACGAACAAGTTTTTAACCGAGTTAGTGAGGTTCCCACAAAATGCGTCTCACACCAATAGGTGTCATTTATGTTTCTACTCCATATCCTACAGAGCCAAAATTTTGTCAGCTCAGCTCTTTTTTCGGGAGCCGCACATGTATACAACTGACAGGATTTCCTGCTTCCCTGGAAGAAACACAAGACGTGGCATTTTGTCCCATCTGCGTAGGCTCCAATGAGTAAACGTGATCCACTGTTTTTCATGCCTGGTACTTGCAACAGTAGCTTCAAATATTGCTTTCTTGTTTAATGAACTTTTTCCATGTTTGCGATAAATAATGATCATATTCTCTCGGTCTTTTCATTTTCAAAACTTAGTGTAGAAATCTATCCACTCTGTTAAAAATCCTAGAAGTTGAGCACTGTGTGTTGGTCTTCTACAACTTATCCCACTTTGTTTTATGAACTCCCTTTAATTTATGTAGTCTCAACGACTCATGCTTGACCGCTTTTCCTGTGACCTGTACACCAATGTCGCGTTGCACTTTTCATCAGACCACTTCAGGTGGTCCTCTTGAATGCCCGTGTACCGTTCTTGCCTTCCTTCACTGGGCAATTTCTTGAAAGCATTTCAAGTTTAAACAAATTTTGAATCCATTTTCTAACCAGTTTGCGATCAACATTGAAAAACTTGGCAGTTTAAACCTTTTGTGAACCTATAAACCTATTGTGATGGAATAGACAATAACTTTATTCTATATAGCTGTGCGTATGTAGGTTTTTGCTGCAATTTCGTGCTAACACTACAGTTGAAATGATGTACAGTAGTATGATGAATCAATATTCAATTGTGTTTGACAAAATTATCATGAGTTTACTATTCTGATAAGACATTCGTCAGAGAAATTAAAATTTCTTCAGGCTTTCCGAGAGAATACAGTAATCACTTTTTCGGTCAGTGCGGACAGGTAAAATCCTGTAATTATTTTCATCATAGTACATCTAAATTCATTTCTTGAGTCGTAGATATACGCCTAGATTAGATAAATTGATTCAAGGAATTATTTTTTCATATGTAATATTGAACTTGAAGTGACCTTCTTTGGGTACCTTGTAATAGTGTTTTCAATTTTGTCAACAAACGACGATTGGCCGAGTGTCTGACCTCTCGGCACTCTCTGCAGACATGTGTCACAGTATTAGGTGTAAAAACATTAGCATGGATTATTCATTGTGGTGCACGATACATTGTACAATTTGTTTTGACCTTTTGCACACAATTTAAAAAAAATGTTAAGCACACCATGCACTGAAAAAAGAAATTGTACATGGTTTAGAATAGGAAAAAAACATTGGAACTGATGACATCAAAATTTACCTATTATCACACACAGGTGGCTTTGATAACCTCCGTTGGGATGATCAACAGAAAATTAAAGAGAAATTAAATGGAATTGATTCTGGCACAGCAAGCAAATCTAAGGGAAAGAAAGGTGGAGCTGCAGAACTAGCTGACTTTGCAGTTGAATATGCGAAGTCAAATCGAAGTACTTGTAAAGCCTGTGACGAGAAAATTGCCAAGGTATACTTCACTCATTATGCTCCACCTACTACTTGGATTACATTCATGCTTGTTTTGATCTTATAACAAATGATTTGCAAGCATAAAAATGACAAAATGTGTTATACAAGTGGTATGGATGGATAAATACCTCCACAAGTGATAATTAAGTGATGATATTGAAGTGAAGAAACATTCCCAATATAAAAAAAAAAAAAAAATTATCCTTGTGTATAAAAGAAGAAATAAGATGAATGTAACTGCCACTTGGCACAATGATGATAGGAGAGTTGAAATTCCAATTAAGACTATACATTTTTATCAAAATTAATCATCTTATTGTAAAAATATTTTAATACACTTATTATTCATGTGATTATTTGACATTTATTTGGAAGTTCTTTTACTTGATTCCATGCTTAGGATGATATCCGTATTTCAAAGAAGGACTATGAAAGAGCTGCGGAGAAGAACATCCCTGGGCCTGTTGATTTGTGGCACCATGTAGAATGCTTCATTGAACCAGACAGGTTGGAAGAGATGGGTTGGAAAGATACATACTCTGGTGAGCAGTTGTCTGGATATAAGACACTGAAGGTAGATGACCAGAAAGATTTGAAGAAGAAACTGACACCGTAAGTATGAAGCTGTTGGTAAATTTTGGTATCTTGACAAACCAAAATATAATAAACTGACAGTTAAAGTATTAATTTCACTTTCGATTTTAGCCAAAATACATATCAGTATGTGGCGGTCACTTAACAGTAGGTTCATAAATGTGACTAGGACGGCTAAAGATGAAATAAGAATCAGCACTCTCTGCTTTGTTGTTACAGTATCTTAGTACAGTACTCTATGAAAGCCATTTTAGTAGAATTGTAGCTAAATACTGCTGCAGTGATGAGAATATTATACGGATTGTTGACTAGCGCTTTATGTTATATAAATATATTCACAAACCAATGGACAATTTTTTAGTGACAAGGTCAAAATAGCTAAAAACAGTCAATTAGAGCCTAACTGGCCTTATTAAAAATATTTCCATTTTCCACAACAAGTTTTAAAGAACACCACAAAGCAGGGGTTTAGTCTGAAAAACGAAATAGGCAGTCCAAAATAGAAGCCAGTTGGTGTGGCCCTGAACTAATGGACGGGCCACACCCACTCGGGGTCACGCCCCCTCCCAAACATAAGGGCTTTTAAAGGTGTTTAAATGTTGGAATTTTGCCTTCAAAGGAATAGTGTTGAATTAGCTATCACAAAGATATTTCAGTTTTAGACATAGATTGCGCATGGCTACGGTTTAGTCACATAATGTTTCTATGCAGATGCATCTTCATCCCTCGCCTTAGTCTAGTGCAAATTCTACACTAGGTCCTCCGAATAAAGAGATGCCTACTGTAGACCTACTGTATTTTGTTGACTAATAAAATTTAACTTGTGACGTTAACAACAAATCTTTTTTACGGTATTTCATGAATTAATTATAACCAGAGGGTTACGAACACCAACAATATTATGTCAGGGAACCGAATTATTTGCAGAGCCACGTGCATGCATTGCTGACGACTCAGAAAAGTCCATTTTCTAGCGGGATATAAATGTTTTTAACACGATGTGTGTTGTAAGTGAACTTTTCACTGGGTAGGCAATGGTTAAGCCTTACATTTTTGGGAATCCCCACCGAATATTAGTATGAAAACAACGTACATGCAATCAAGAAAGGTTGTTTTTATCAAACGTAAATAATTGTTGGCAGTCCAAAAGACGGCCGGATGGCCCGCTGGCTAAGCCTCTGCCACCAAGTAAAGATATTCCTCAGTTGCAAGTAATAAAACAATTTATTTATAGATTACTCGCAAAAAGGCCTCCTTCGACGGCCTTTCTTGAGGCTGTGAGGTGGGTCTACATATTTGCATGAGGGGGTGTAGAAAGAAGGGAACTCCTGTATAACTAACATAAGTTTCAATTAGTTGGGGAATCATCTGTCTAACGTAATTTGAATAATGAATTCTCGTGTGTTGCTTTTGTAGCATCCAGTCCAATATCCTGTATCATCCAATATTCTGTAGACTTGTGTTATTGTAAAATTATTTATTTACGATATTTTAATAGACATAAATAGATTTGTGAGAAAAAGACTTCAGCTACCCGTATTTCTCGACTGAGACGTCAGTGGGAGCTGTAATTTGTATGGCAAGGAGATGGTGCTACCCTTAATTCATATTAAGGAATTCACGCCCACAAACCTTGTAGTTATTGTTATAATAGAAAATTTTTATTTTTTGGTAACGTCACACTCACAACATAGTTAACATGCATACATCACCTTTTCCTGGTAAGGCAAACTTTCCCGGCGTGCTTTTTTCATCGATAAACACCACTGCTTTGCACATGGATGCCTTGTCTAGCTAGGGCTACAAGAGCCGCAATGTTAGCATTGTGTAATACTTAAACAAGGTACGTCTGCAACTGAATTACTCTTAGTTAATTTTTTCTTCTTATTTTAATTTATTTCTTTCAAAAGTGTACTTTCTATCACATATAATTGCACTGTCTACTTAGGCTTATACCCATTTCATACTAGCAGAAAATATTACAACTTTTAACAATTGTTAACAAGTTGTAACAAGTTTGATATTCCGAGATCTTTGGTTCGTTTCACACATGCACTTTCAAACCATGAGAAATCCCGGGAAAACTCGGAAGAATAATGACTAGGCCTAGAGGCCTAGGGTAGTACTAGTAGTAGGCCTAGGCTAGTTGTAGGTTGTCCAAATTACATATCAACTACTAAACTAGGCCTGGTACCGAATTAACAAGATTATAATTATTCCATGGTTCTTAGCCTTCGGAGAGTAAAACAAATTCAACTCCTAGCTCGCTTGCTGTAGTCGAGCTGGCGAGAAAGATAGGCCTAGGCTAGCTAGGCGCATTCGGGCCACCGGCCTGTAGCTCACCATTGTTGTTAGTGGCAATCAGTGCGACAAGCATCATAATGATTCGCTGTCGGCGTATTTTACGAAGCCTCATGATTGTTTCTACATCAGACATGTGAAATTTAGTGAGATTTCTTTTGATTTTAGGTCTAGGCCTATTAACAAATGGTAGTAATGTTGATACGTTTTCCATCGCTACCGCCATTCGTTCGAACTAAACAAAAAAAAAAAAACACAGCCTGCAAAAAGGTCAAAATATGGACATGACGCATGCGCAACAACAACTCGGAAGATTTCGGGGAAAAAAACAGGCGTCGCGATGGTCTGTTTTTGTTCCAAGGTAACTCAGGGGACCCCTGTGAAATCTCAGAAAGGATTTGCTTTCACACTCATCCAAACCTGGTTACAACTTGTTACAAGTTGTTAATATTTGCAAAATAGCATCAGTGTGAAATGGGTATTAGTCTTACTAATAAATAGCCTCACCTTTCCTACATCAGTAAGCTAGGCAACAGAACGTGATGTGCCATCGTTCCCAGGTTTTCATGTAACATTTGAACATTTGGCTAACCAACTTATACTTTAACCGTTCCCCCTCCCCCACGCTAAAGTACAGGCGTATGCTAGAATGTGATATTGCACCTTCCTTCCCAGGTGTTCATGTAACATTTGCATGTTAGCTAACCAGTTGCGTGTATTCCTTTGTGAAAATGAGTACTACGGCGTACTCATTTTCACGAAGCATTTGCATCTCCTCTTGGAAAGATTGAACTTCGAAATAATTGTCTCCATATTTTCGCTAATTAATCACCGTAATTTAGTAACTGGAGCACTTAAATGTACAATAATCATTTCACTACCCGACAAACCCCGAACTTTATTCATGCATTACATAAATAGTTTCATGTTGCTGTACTCAAACATCACTGGTGCATGTTAAAAACCAACTGACTGCAGACCATTTCCGGTCACACATTACTTTCCATAACACAGCACCCCCTAGTTCCATCACCTCTGGATGCACCACCAGTGTCATATACGGTATACTGTAAAGCCATTTTTTTCAACGCCCTTAATTTTTACAACTAAGAAACAGTTTCTGCATTATGTTAAAAAAGCAACTAGAAATTGTAAAATAGTGAATCTAAAATACCACAAAATATTTCATAGTAAAGGGCCACGAAAATAATGAGCTTTACAATATATTTTTTTGTAGGCAATATTACATTTATGCGTGAGATTTTGATTCTTACAGTAAGTGTGGGAGCGTGAGACAGACTCCGAATGTGTGAGACTTGCGCCGATTGCGTGAGACTTGGTGTGAACGGTTTTCAATGAATCCGCACCTTAGAATATGAGTACAGCATATTAGAACACATAATGGATCTTGTACTGCACGATAATTATTTCACTTATGTATGATACAAATAAATTAAACTGTTGTTTTTAACTGGTTTAAGCATGACAACAAATTTTCAAGTAAATTTAGCTCTAGGTGTAGTGAGTATCCATCATACAAATGTTGGTGCTAATGCCATGACGTGAGTAGGGTACTGTAGGCTGCTTCCTTGTTAATATTAGGCTTTTTGTTTAATTTTAAGGTTTCAAGAATGCTGTTTGTGTGATGTACTGAAATCACATAATAAAAATTCTGTAGCCCTTGTCCCGTTGGATATCCTTGTCATGGATAGTTTTGTACCCACTGCGAATAACAAAAACTTTCTATGCTCCAGCTCCTGCCTCTATGAAATTAACCTGTAAAAACTGTATTAAAAACATTGAGTGATAGCTGGGTTAATAGCGATTGTTTTAATAGTCTTTAAAGTATGAATTATACGGTTACAAATATTTCATTTATTTGCTGGTATTGTATTATTTTTACAACGTAAAATTATGTGCATGCTACCTTTTAGGCTGTGTCAAAGAGTAATTAAACAAGTGGTCTACTGTATCTTTGATGCTCTGGTTTTTTTTTGGAAATACATTGTAAAATTGCCTAGAATTGTGTTTTTTGAAATATCATGTAGCTGGTTTCAGGGATACATCATTGAATGACATTGACATTCAGCTCATGTTATATGGATTCCTGTAATGTATTAAACTGAATTGACTTTTGATAAGATTTTAGCAGATTATTAAATGCTAACATAAAAAAAATGTATATAGGCCAGGGGTCCCAAGTCTCTCGCAACTCGTGGGTTTTCCCGGAATGCTGAATGACCTCCTGCAAGTAAGCATGAATCTCCTGGAAAGAAACCCATCGCAATAACCCAAATTTATAATATTTGCGTGTTTTCACTGCTTCATATTTGTATCATAGAAGTCAGTGTCGATAGATATCACTATTTGTAGCAAAATAAAATTAAATGTATTACTGTAAGAAAGCTCAATATCCAGATCAGTGGGAGATTCAAAGGGTGGGGTGGGGGAAGCTGGCCCAAGACCCCTGATTAATTTAAACTTTTAAAACAAGTGGAGAAAAATGAAATTATTAAAATTTAAATCTGAGAATGCCAATTCTGGCCATCTAGAGATGCCATCATATATATTTTTTTTTCATAGCCATATGATTAGATCTTTAAGCTGCATTTGCTAATGTAAGCTAATTATTCAGGGGCTAATACTGTATAATTTTGCTATTTTTTTCTTACAGTAAGAGGAAAGTGTCAGATGAAACAGATTCTGTTCCCAAGAAAAAAATAAAGATGGAATTAAGCAAAGAAGAAAAACAACTTAAAGTTAGTATTGATACATTAAATATTAGAATGCGCAGCAACCACATTTTACAACTTTAAGTTTTATCTGTGTATGGTGATCATCAGTAACCAATGATTACATTTTCTTACCCATTCCATATTCTTAGTACAGTACAACTTGTAGACGGATTTGTTAATTTGATGTAAGGGTATGTCCCTTAATCATGTAAAGTGCAATATATTATCTATTTCGTTAAAAAAGAATATTTTAAAGCACAATTATTAAATCAATGACAATCCCATAAATCGGGTTCATTCACACAAAGACTTTGGTATTTTCATTGATAGCACCCTTAGTTTTTCTTATGTTGATATCTTGTTGGCAAGTGCAATAGACTGCTTGGGCTGATGTGGCGCAATTGCAAAAACTTTGACAGTCAAACTAAACTACATCTTTATTTCAGTATATCTATTTCCAAAACCCAAGCTTCACGTATTCATCGATTACATAATCGCTTCTTGCGCTACATCAGCCACAACCGTAACCATAACATTCCTTACATTCAATCTCCGGAGTCTCGTAGGCAGTTCTTTGATCTTGTTTTTTAATATGTTGTTATATAAATGTGTTAATACTTTTTTCGATTGTGATTTGTTAAGTAATTTTAGTCCCCAGTCGTCGTCTTAGAAATAATCCTACTTTTCATATTCCCTTTAGTAGACTTAACACGCTTAAAAATAGTTTCATTATAGTAGATTAAGCTTAGCTTATAATTCTCTTGTTTTAAGGAATCCTGATATTGATATTTTTAGTGATAATTTCTCTATGTTCTGTAACAGTGTTAGAAATATTTTACATATTAGGCCCACTTAATCTGATATTATCACGTTGTTGTTGTTATTATTATTATTATTATTATTTGTACTATATTATTTTTAGTATATATTTTTGTTTTTGTATTCTTCACATTTATTATATTTATGTATCCGTTTGATTGTTGTGTTCCCTCCTGTAAGTGGTGAATTTTATGTTTGCTTTTGGCTGGGATAATAAATAAATAAATAAAATAAATAACCTCATCAGTTATATTGTAAAGTTGATAAATATTTTCTTTCAGTCTCAAAGTGAGTTCTTGTGGAAAATTCGAGATCAGTTATATCGACATGTTCCAAATGAAAATCTGAAGTATCTGTTAACTGCAAACAACCAAGATATTCCTAGTGGGGAGTCAAAGGTATGAACCCTAAGAACACCATCCTTAACAGCACATGTACTTTATTTTTCTAACCTTAATCTTATTTTGCACCAAACAAATATTTTGTTTACCTACTCCTTGATTAAGCTACATAGACAAAACCGAATTTAAATACCCAATTTACAGCTTCATAACAAATTGAAATTTTATAACACCACATACTGCTAATAATGTTATAATGTTTTTTTTTAATTTACTCTACTTTAGCTTCTTGATTATGTTTCTGATGGAATGGCCTTCGGTGCTTTGGAGAACTGTCCAGAATGCACAAATGGCCAACTTGTGGTCAGTAGTAGTGGGTATGGTTATCATTGTACTGGCAATATCTCATCCTGGACCAAATGTCAATATAGAAGCCAAGTAGTCAAAAGGAGTAAATGGATCATCCCAGATGACCTAAAAGATATTGAATATCTGTAAGTATACATAACTTGATCTTAATAGAATGCCTTCTCACATTAGGCCAGAAAAAAATGTTGTGTTGCCCTCCGCAACCAACCAAAATTTTCAAAAAAATTCATGTTCTAAATGTTAATTTAGAACATGAAATCTAAAAGTGACAGGTTTTTATCAAAATAATCGGGCCATAGGCCTTGATGCACAAGTAAAATCAGTAAAATAGAAGTCGCAATTTGGAGAACCATGCGTGACGACGATCTCTCACGCTGAGCTGTCAAGTCACAACCAGATCTAGGCCTAGCCTATTCTTTACTACTGTACAGCTAGTGGTTGCTTCAATCAAAAATAGTATTCATTACCTTACGGTATATATTGGAAATAGTATTCATTGCTATTTACTATACTGGACAGTAAATAGAAATAAGCTTAGGTCTAGCCATCACATGGCTCCATTTACTGTTTCAGGCCAACCATGAACAAAATATTTTTCTCTTTTTTATTCGATTGTATTACATAGAGGGAGCTTGTTTGGACATTTTTCATTAACGAAATATTTTTCTCTTTTTTATTTGATTGTATTACATATTATAGGGTGTCATCATCATCATGTCCGTACTCTAATCGATGTTGAATAAAATGCATATTTGTATGTACAAATCGCTTAATAATTTATGCATGTGAATTTCAGGCATATGTGAATTTAAAAAAAAGTTTTCCATAGTCCTAATTCTTTTTCGGGCATGGAATTCCCAAACTGAAAATATTTTAATGCTCTCAATGGTTGATGCATATGATTTTGAATACAAACAGGCAGTAAGTATTTTAGATTTTTAATATAATTCAGCTAACATCTAGACCTGAAATTCATATATCCGGGCATAGCAAATTCTTGGCCCATGTGATTGTTTACTCACAACACTTCAACTATATATGGTTAGCAATCACAGCCATAATTTAAGATTAATTACCTGCAGTATACTCTGGAATATACTAGTCCTCTGAAAGTGAGAATCGTTAGCCATTTCTCCAGACTCTCGGCAGTATACCAGTCTTTAAGAATGTAGGACATAAACCACCCAGGACATAAACCACCCAATTGGAATATACCATTGTTAAAGTGGGTGGGCAACA